GAGCGGCTCTCTGAGGCTGCCCCTTATTCCCTCCTTTGGTTCCGAGCTGTGCGCGGTGTTTCCCCGCTGAAGCCCGTGTCTGCCGGTGGTGTGGCTGAGCTGGGATATTTACAGGTGCCCCATCCTCTCATCGTGAAGGAACGTGCCAGGACGCAGGCTGAGGGGTTACCTGTCCTTCTTCTTGTGTCCTCAAGTGTTAAAAGTCTCACCAGTCGTGGAGGAAATTGGGACCTGAGTGTGCATATTCCCCCAGAGTTTCTCTGCAGTGCCTATAAGGGGACCAGGACCTTTTTCCCGTGGTCAGTTGCCCATTTTGGTGGCATCTCTGGACGTAATCGTTACCCATGTCTCCTCTCTCATCCAGCACAGGGCAAAGGCATGTGTGCGAATGGGCTCCACAGACGTGTCCCTTGCTTCCTGCCCCAAACAGTAGCAACTGTTGCTCTTGTGGATGTCCTCTGCATATTCACATCTACAGAGAAGCATGAGTGACTGTAGGGTTTCCTCTTCACCCTCCCAAACCCAGACAGCTCCATGACACCACATCCTGGGTGACAATGTTGCCCTAAAAGTCGGCTTTGTCACCCAGCATGCGATTAGCCGATCTCACACGCCAAGTCAAGACATTGATTTTATTTCAGAGTTGCACAAGGCTGGGTGCGTGGTGGCTTTCCACAGATCAAGCACACTGACCAGAATCTCTGCACTCAATTTGTTACAAAAATTGCAAGTTGATTGTATGCCAGGTACTTCCCCTAACAAGTGACTGGATCGTGCAATCTCTATACTGCGCGTCTTCAGTGAGTAGGGGTCTGCTCCTGGAAGCGGGTATCCTTTTGCCTAGAGGTGTGTTTTGCTCTGTGTATTAGTGTATAATTAGATAATTCACCTAAGGATAGTTCAGGTTTAAGTTTTTTTTATCCAATTTGTCATCTAATGTATGTATGTCCAGGTTGTTCCTTAAAATAATGGTGAGCCCCTTTGTTCTTTTAGTTGCTACTAGCCTAGTTTTAGTTACCTAAGATCTACAAATATTTAGCCTGACTAGATGAGTATCTATCTGCTAGGAACAACACACAGCACATTTTACAATCAAGATGGCAGCTGCAGTTTTGTGCCACTCCAGCAATTTTGCTGGTGCTCAGGGTTGCTGGGACCTGTGGGAACTTGCCACGCTGATGAGAGAAGAAAGACAGGCTGGAAGACATCTCCTATAATCAGAAAATGCCTGAGTTTGATGTTCTCACCATGGCCCTGAAGAACAATGTTTTGGGAGGGAAATAACAATTGTTACCCCAGAGCTAAGCTGCGCATAAAATACTGGTGAGCTGTGGAATGGAGAGGTGAATAATAAAGTGGTGGACCTCCAAGTTCACAAGGCGGTGATCAATACTGCAAAGTCCAACTGGCAGATGGTTGTGGCTGATACTGCTTTACACTTTCCTCCCCAATAACTGAGGAAAACACACAGCTGATGTCATGTCCTGTCAGATGCCTTTTCTCTTGTCAGTAGAAGAATTGGCACTGCAGGTCGTGAGTACCTCTGAGCTTTCAGCTGGGGTTCTGGGGCTCTGTGCTCAGTGCTGCCAGGGTGAGTGAACAGAGGGTGAAGTGGGGAAGGAGCATCATCTAGTGCGCGCTTGTAGTGAATACCCATTACGAGCCTGAGTGTGGGCTCAGGGAAAGCCCATGCTTGAGGAACAGGACCCTCTGCCCACACTGCATCCCAGGGTTTTCCCAACATTGTGGATAAGCATAATGATGTCCCTGCTGATTTCCTTCCCATGACTTCTGGGCCTTTACAGGGAGATGGAGATGGTGAAGGAAAGTATGTAGGAGGTCCACAGAAATCTTGGGATAGATAGGCTGCTCATAAAGGTGATACACCCAAACATACAGCTTTCTCCCAGGCCGGGATGAATTGTGTCTGGAAATGCTGATGAGAGGTGGAATTAGAAGAGATTCCCCTACTGAACACTGTAAATGAAGAGCTTCCACATCTCCTGGACAAATGGATGAGAGTTAAGTATTAAAAAACCTGAAGGAGTGAGATGAAAAGCTGGGTTATGAAGAGAGAGGGAATGTTTTATGGAACAATCCAGTGTGAGAAGAAGGGAGAAGTATTGGCCACCTTGACCAAGGCTCTTCCCAAGCTTCTCCAGCATCTCAGCTGAGGTGTGTATGTGTCTCAGGGCTGGGTCCAACACTGCAACAGCACAGCTGTAACTCAACATCCATTACCACGGTCTCTAGAATTTCAGAAGTTGTAAGCAGGAGAAAGACATCCAGAAAAGGCAAAACTAAACCACAGGTCTTTGTCTCTTGTTTTCGCTACGTAAAGACCCACTGGCTAAATCAGAACAACCCAGATGTGTCTCAGCAGACATGGCACTTTAATCTTCAGCACAAAGTGATGACCTTTCCTGGGAGCAAAGACTCATGTCTGGGTGTCACCTGTTGTGTCCCATATCGCTTCGTTCCCTATTCTCTCTGAAAACCCTTATCTCATACGAAGGCCAACAGAAAGTTCAGTTCTTTCACTCTTCCTTCCATAGGTGGAGCTCTGGGCCTGAAGCACCTGAATGCCATTTCCTAATGTTATGGAAATACTCACTGTCCTGGAGGGTGTCTGACTTGCGATTTCAGGGAGGGAGGACTGCTTAGGTGTATCTCTGCGGAGGATGAAAGCTCTGAGCTGGTGCAAACCATTTCAACACCTCAGGCAATGGCTGTCTCTCCCCAGACCTCCAGAGCATTTCAGCCTGCTCTGAGAAAGAGGGAAACTGAGGTGGGGCAACAAGCACAGGCTTTTCCAAACTGATGTAGCAGAGCCCAGTGAGTCTTCTGCTCCTGCAGAAGATTATAATGGGATGGACTCCTTCAGAATTGGGCAGCTGTGGGTGACTGAGGTTGCCTCCTCAGCCTCTGCCAATGGTCAAAAGGGAGAAAGAAGCAGTCTGGTATTCCCTCCAAGCCATGGAGACCAACTAAGTTTGATCAGATGAGTCACCCTTGGGAGCCTCTTGGAGGAAAGAAGCCGAAACCTCTCCCTGGATCAGCAGGTGGCTGAAGTAAGCTGAACTACCGATATTTCCTCACAGTCATGATTCACCTCTCCAAAATGTGAGGTCCCCAATGCCTTTCCTTCCTCCTTCTGCACCCAAAGGACTGTTTGGAGCACATTCCTCTCAGCCCCATCCCATTTGCTTCCCTGGGGAAGTGACTCCTCTGTCTCCCCGCTGACCTCCAGGGCAGGAGGGGGTTGCCAGTGCACTCAGACACATGCAGTGTGTCTGCTCCAGACAGCAGAGGTGAAGCTTAAAGGGAGAATGGTATTTATTTTCAGGGCTGCATGCTCCAATGGAGTTAAAAAGTCAAAAAAAACACTTCGGACATTAATTGCCTGACAACTTTTCCGTTACAGATAGGGTAAGTTAGACATCAGTCATCTATTTGCTGGGCAAAGTGTTGCTACAGCCACTACTGCTAAGATCAAGTTGAAATAAATTCAAGCTAAAAGAAATGTAGAAAAAGCCTGGCAAGTCCTCACCTCTTGTCTTGCTAACCTAGAACACATCTGTGCTCTTCCAAGAGCAAAGGCATCCCCTTATTTACTGTGTGGCGACACACAGCTCTCTGGGAAGCCACGTCCTTTCATGCCCCTCCTGGTGACCCATAGATGGCCCCTGGAAGGAAGGATCATGGGCCCAACTGAAATAAAGGCTGTGTCACACCTTTTGGCTTACAGAAAAGTCACTGTTTATTGGAGAATGAATCAGAGACTTTGCCAACATGGAACGAGACCCATGAATTCAAGGCCCTGGGGCAGGTGGGAGTACAAAGCATGACTGGTTTGCTGATGAAAGGCTCCTGCAGTTCCACCTCCAACATGCTGATACTTTTCAAGTCAACCTCATCCCACTTCAGTTCTCTTGGATGTTATCATGGGCTGGATCTGATGTAGATGAGAACTTTACTTCAGAAATGATTGTTTCACCTGGCAATGCAGATATGGGAGTTCCTGACCCAGCCTGGTCTTTTGGGGTAAAGAGAAGAGGTCAACAAGTGGGGTGCAGCAGGAGCCCTTTGTTGGGAGCCATTGCTATTACACACCTGCTGTTGACACCTCTCCACACTCATCTTCTGTAGCGTGCACAGCACTCTCTTGTCAAGACAGAAGTTATAGAATCATAGAATCATTTAGGTTGGAAAAGACCCTTAGACCATCAAGTCCAACCATTAACCTAACACTCCCAAGTCTACCACTAAACCATGTCCATAAGTGCCACCTTTGTGGAGGCCAGTAGCCCATTTTGCCAAAGCCGAATTTGGGAAGGGCAACCATGGGGGAATGTGATGCTTCCTTCCCAGTCCCATTTCAACCCAAACCAAACACGCTGGAGGCTCTGAACTAGAGGTTTTCTCTTGAGGAGTTCAGCGTGATACAGGTTCAGCCCAACTAATATAAGACATAAGCAGTGAGAATTCATCTGTAATGTAAGACCCCAGCTGGTAGCAACAGTGGTATCCCAGCACGATTACTGAATTTAGGCCATACTTTCTGGTAGGTGCTGCCAGTCTGTAGCACAAGGCATGCTGAGCTCAGCGCCTGAAGATGCTTGGCTTCATGCTTCTCCCAAGGAGGGTGCTGGCTGCCTCCAGGCACTTGTCCAGCTGGGACACTGCTATCAGGGAGAGACAGGGGCACAAGAGGAGTCAGGCAGGGGGAGTCCACAGATGGAAAGGAGAAAGAGGACACAGGACCCCTTCACCTGCCCCCTCCACTGTGATCCTGGAAAGGTCCCACTGGAGAGAGAAGGGAGGAGTTTGTGCTGTGGGGATCAGTAGGAAAAGGACCCTCAAGACTCACCAGCTCGGCTGCACAGCCAGGTCACAGCCTTGGCCTCCAGCAGCTCACAGAGGTCCTGGTAACACTTGTCGTTTCTGTGCAGCCAGGTCACAGCCAGCACTGTTGCCCAGATGCTTGGCTCCATGACCTGTAGGAGAACAGCGACTCAGACCAGCACACAGTGCTGAGCATCTTCCCTGCTCCCCCAATGCCACCCACCGCTTCCTTTGTGATTTCTGGTTTCTGGTCCCTTCATCCCTCTTTGGCTGCTCTTTGGATGCCGGTGTTGCCACCAGCCAAGCAGTTCCCACTGCCCCAGAATGACAGACTGTCACCATAAGAGGTTCCCCCCTTACCTCACCAGGCATCTTTCCCTTGATTTCAGCCTCATTGACTTCCAGCACAGAGGCCAAGCCTGAGCTAAGGGCCCAGGAGCCATCTACATTCTGCAGTGCCACCAGCTCCTGGCATTCAGCAACAGCTTCAGGGGACCATCGCCCAAAAACTGGAGAGCACAAAATAAATTCCGTGGGATCCACATACTTGAGAGAATAAATAGGTGGTGGTGGTGGTTTACATGCTGTGGGAGAAGATGTGGACAGGAGGGTTGGGAGAATCACAGGAATCTGACCCCTCTCCTCCCCAGTGCAACATCCCAGAACATTCTCTCTGCTCTTCCTTGGGCAGCTACCTGCAGTCTAATAAGCTCCTTCCAGAATGTCCCCAAAGCACTCCCATCTGCAGCCCTTTTTGGACACCCCTAATTCACCCCCAATTTTGACCTTGACTTTTCCGGCAAAACTATGTCCCAAGACCTCTCTTGATAGCCCCCCAACACATCTTATCCAAATATGTGTTTATGATCCAGCACCATCCCTGTCCCCTACCTGGGTATCCCTGAGCTGGGTCTGATATTCGCTGAAGGACTTGGAGGTTTAAGGGTAACTAAGGGAAGGGTTAAAGGCAAAATTCATTGGTTTCCATGCCATGGGCAAGACATGGCAGCATAACCCTCCTATAGGACATTCAATTATCCCTACCTCTCCCATCGGGGTCAAGGCCCCATACCTTTTGAGCAAGCCCCGCGCTGGGGCAGGGCAGCAATACCATGGGTGAGTCGATGGAGAGCGAGCCATGACGCCCGCACTGCTGTCAGCCAACCAGGTGGGACCCAGATGCTCGCAGGATAGCAGGAAGAGGTTGTGCTGGAGCCGTGAAGCTCAACGATCTGGCAGGAGATGAGTGACCGGCGGGGTGGCAGCAGTGCCAGGGGCCCTTCAAGGGCAAACAGGGAAAGGGGCTGAATTAAGCACATGGGAGAGAAGCACCTGGTGGTGATGGGTCCTATCCCATGAGAGTGGGGGTGCCCTGTGGTTGGGGTTCCAGCTCCAGTGGAATGAGAACATCGCATGGAGCTGCCCCACCAGCTCTTTCCCACAAGTGTCTTTCCTCACCTTGGTTCCAGTTGACCCTCTTTGCTGTGCGAACCCCCACATAGCTGGTAAAGGGACAGATGATCCCCGAAGTCAGGCTGATCTCAACTGCACGATGTCTGGGTTCATCCCCTGACCCACTCACAGCCTCTAGCAACAACCTCTTCAGCACGCGTCTTGAGGACAAGCGGTGCCCAGCCAGCCTGGGGACAGCATAGGTTGAGCCTGACCACCTGGCTCGTCTCCATGCTGGGGAAGGGTGGTCAGAGAGAGAGAGCCTGGGCACCTGGGTTCTCTGCCTTCAGGGGTGAGGATGGACAGAGGGAAAACCTGGATGCCTGGGTCCTTATCTGCCTGGAGGGAAGTGATGCCCAGGTTCCTGGGTCCTACCCCTGTGGGGTCAAAGCAGACAAGGAGGGCATGCTTGGACACTTGGATTGTCTGCCAGTTTGGGATTGTGTGTGAAAGGTGGGAATGCATAAGCTATCCAGGCCCCCTCTCAGCTGGAGTCCACGTTAGAAAGGCAGGGGACACACGCATCTTCCCTCAGGACAGGCTCTCACCGGCCATCTCCCTGCGGGCACAGTGGGAATTCAATGGTGTGAGTGACATTCTGGCCATCCAGGCTGTACTGCAAGGTCATGATGCCCTTGGCCACCGTTGTATCCTGGGGACACATGGGAAGCTACTGGAGGTTACTGGGGACACAAGATGATTACTGGGAAGTTACTGAAAGATTACTGGTGGTTATCGGGAGGCTATTGGGAGGTAGTGGGTGACTGTAGTCCCAGCTCTCACCTGTGCCTGTACATGGATCTGGGCATAGAGGAGACTGTGTTGACCCTGAAAGATGGACTGAGGGGTGCCCCCCAGCACCTCAACCTCCAGGCCACGGGGCAGGGTCCAGCTCAGAGAGACTCCGTCAGCTGCTGGCTGGAGGGCCCGCTTCAGGCACCTCAACACCTGGGGACAGGACACTGCAGTCTGCAGCTGCACCAGGGGTCAGCCCACAGCCCCTGGTGTTGGGGTTCCCTGGGGGAGAGTGGAATGTGAGGGGTAGCCTGCACCAGCTGGGTTCCCTGGGCACAGTCAGGTCTGTGGGTCAGAGCGGGGCAGAAGCCCAAGCATCTGGGTTCTCAGTGGGGTGGGTGGTGGGGTAGGGTCAGGGGCAGCCTGAGTGCCTGGGTCCTGGGGGCAGCTGGGTCTTAACTACTGTGTGTGAGCCGTCCAGGTGCTGGGGCACTTGGAAGTCACTGTGTCTGTGGAACACCAGGGCTCTGGGGTTCTTACCACAGCTGTCATACTGTTGTCAGAGCAGATGTAGGTCGCTTCACCCCCTGTCTTCCTGGCCAGGGCCATAGCCAGGGCAGCGCTGTACTGGGAGAAGCAGAAGGAGAAGCACCTATGGGGGAAGCAGGGAAAGGTGTCAGAAATGGGAGCCAGAGGTGGGTGGAAGGATGCTCAGATAGAGATAGAGAACACAGGCTGGACTTAAAACTGGGGGAACAAAGCTGGGGTGCAGAACAAGGGGGCAGGAGGAAGAGCAGGGAGCAGAGCGAGGGACTGGGGTTGGGGCTGGGTTAGACAGGGAGCTGACAGGAGAGCTGGGACTTGGGACAGAGCTGGGGTCAGGCTAGTGGGGCTGGGGCAGAGCTTGGGGGCACATCAGGGTGTACAAACCCTGTGCCTCAGTCTCCCTGCCCACTCTGTGAAGGGTGCCTTGGTTGTGGGAGCAGTAAATAAGAGACTTCCACATGGGGGCTTAGCACAGGAGATCTGTGCAGGGTGGTAAGGGTCTTTGGGACACTGAAGGGGGCCCAAGGACTGGGACAGGCCTTGGTGAACAGGGGCCTTCCTCAGGGATGGAAATGACTGGACAACCAAAGGGTGACTGGAGGACTAGGGGCAGAGAGTCCCCATTACCGGTGGCTGTTGCGGTGACGGCAGACCTCAGCTGCGATGGCTTCCTTATCAGGGGGTAGCCCAGCCATGAAGATGAAGAGCTGGGAGACAGGGGACATGAGTCCTGGGGCACTGCACAGGGACCCCAAAATGTGGAGAGCAGGCTCCTGAAATGGAGAGAGGGGCCCAGGAGAGAGATCCCCTGTAGACAGACTACCCCAGAGAGATGTACCCACTGAGGGACAGAAACCCCTAAAGATATAGACCTACTTCTCCATTCCTCCACACCCCACTGTTTCCTTCTTGTTCCCTTGGGACCACCGGGTACTTTGGGTGGCTCCCTCCACCCACTCTCCTGTGTCCTCTCTCTCCGTGGGGACACGTGTCCCTCACCCCTCCGTGCCCCTGCACCCAGACCTGGCGTGCATGCCCCTGGAGGCGGGGGGTATTGTAGATTGAGCGGAGGGTTCCCAGCAGACTGGTGTCACCCAGACTGGAGCCAGTGGAGGAGATGCGCCGCATGGCCTCGGTAAGGTTGTCCTGAGTATATTCGACACTCTGCCTGCAGGAGGCACAGCATGTTTGGAGGGTGCATTACTCTGTGCTGGCCCTAGTGCTCCCTGAGACCCTGCCCCATGGCACTTCCCACAGCTATGCCCCAGGGTCCTCTGCAAGTCCTTGCCCCATAGTAGTTCTTGAAGAGACCTGATTTCATAGTTCCTACAAGACTCTGCTCAAAAGAACTCCAAGAGGTGCTATCCCATAATGCCACCAAGATCCCATTCCCAGAATCCCACCCTGCCCTCCAGTACCCAGTCTTGCTTCATACCAACCATCCGATTTCAGAGCATGCACACCTGCCCTCCAGCATGTAACCCTGCCCCATAGCACCCATTCCAGTCCCACAGCACCCAGTCACGCCCCACAGTATCCATCCGTACCCGCCAGCACCTAATCCAGCCCCATACACCCAGCCTGCCCCATGTTTGCTCACGGGTAGATGCCCACAGACATTGCTCCATAGCAGTAGATGTTGAAGTAGCAGCCCAGGGGCAGGCTTTTGAGAAGGAAGAGCAGGGTGTCCTGTGGACAGACACAGCAGGCAGGTCTTGGAAGGCACTGGTGGGGGGTACAGATGCCTTTGCCCATAGTCTGGTCCTCCTAAAGCCTCTGGACTCCCCTCGATCACCCAAGCCAGTGCTCTGAACTCCCTTGGGCACCCGAGGTATTTCAGGACCATTTCAGCCCCCACCAGTCCCCCCTCACATCTCTGTCCCTCCATAAATGCCTGCCCTGGCCCACTCCCTCTCAACCTGCTCCTCCACCCCATCCTGGTCCCTGCTCTATGGGGGTACCTGTACATGTGCAAGAAAAGTGGTGTCCAGGAGGAAGATTAACTCTCCAGACTGGCGCTGCCCAGGCACTGCCTCCGGGATGCTGGGTGCCAGCGTCACCAACACCATGGGGTCACCAAGCAGGGAGCCTGGAGGCAGTATGGGGTGGGATGAAGACCAGATAGGGACCCCTCTCCTTCTCCTGGTTCTGATTCTTGTTGTGCTTTCAGCTTCCACCATTCCAGAGCACCATGATGCCTCACACGGGTACATCAGTACCCTACTGTGCTGTCCCCTGATTGCACAGCCCAGTGCTCCCTGTATTCCAGCCCAGTGCCTCCAGTAGTGCCTCCAGACTCACCGTACACATCCTGCTATATCTGATACCTCACCACAGTGTCCCCAACACCCCACCCTGGAGCCCCAGGACCCCAGGTACCCCATCTGAATGCTTCCCATTCCCATCCTGGTGTCCAATGATACCTCGCCCCCCAGAGTCCCCAGTGTGTCCCCAGTGTATCCCCATGCCCCAATACCTCATGCAACCCAGAGGTGCCTCCATCTCCCTCCCCAGCTTTACTCACCTGGAGGGGCTCCAGGGTCTCCCTTCTCCACCATGGCACTGACTGCAGTGGGTTCTCCAAAATACACCAGCAGCTCCAAATCATGGCTTGGAGGGCTGCCAGCCAGTGAGATCTGGAGAAGGGTGCCAGGTCACGCCCAGGATGTGAGGACCAGACCCAGCATTTGTCCAGGAGCACAGGCACTGATCCCAGAGCATGCCCTTTTCCTCAGTGATTACACCCCTTCCCAGCTCCCCTGTGATCCTGGCACTCAGGAGGGCATACCTGTGCCATGCTGCGGTCCTGGGCAGTATAGACCAAAGGGATGAGGGCAAAGTTGGCCTGGACATTGTCCACTCCACGGGGTGAGTGCAGGCTGGCAGTGAGCAGCAGGCTGTAGGGCAGCATGCTGGGGAGGCAATTCCAGGCTGCAAGAGGAAACATGGCACTGGGGAGGGCAAAGGCTCTCCCTGCAGGCGTGGGGAAGGGGAGGATTTGGCATCCATGTACAGGACATATGGGGAGCATTGGGGGTTGACAGTAAGGTGCATGGAGGGGTCCATAGGTCTGTTCATGTGAAATGTGTGGGAGGTGTGGATCCCCTCATGGGGCACAAAGAAGATGTGGCTCTGTCCAGGGGCTGCATGGGGGAAAAATATGGGTCCCCCCATGGCTGCAAAGGGAAGTTGCACTGGGTCTGTTCATCAAGTACACAGGGAGTCTGTGGCCCTTCTGGGGGGTGCGTGACTGGGAGGGCAGGTTCTTTGTGGGGTCACTCACCGTAGAGTTTGGTGTAGGGATGCAGTGTGCGTGGCAGCACAAAATGGGCTGCTCCATCAGGCTCCCGCGGCAGCTCTTGGACATAGCGCAAGGTCACGACCACCTCCCTGCCAGGGGACAGGGTGCCCAGGAAGCAGGCAAACACCTCACCCGGGTACTTCGACTCATCCTGAAGGTTTTCCAGGTCCTCCCAGCCCCGCATAGCCTCATGCAGCTGCTGGGCCTGGGTGGGAAGGGGAGGGACAGAAAGCCCATCACCAGGCTGGCCATGGGCTGCTCATCCTGTGTCCTGGGGTGGTTTGCCCGTTTGTCCCTGGATGCTGGTACCTCGTCCTGCAGCATGGCCTGGACCTTGGCATCCTCACTGCGGGCCTGGAAGGAGTAGATGGCCATGTGAGGGCCCAGGGGGAAGACGAAGAGGACTTCTGTGGAGATATGACTCTTGTTCTGGTAGATGAGTTCAGAGGCCACGTCAGCCACATAATCCTGGATGGCAACATCCACCACAGCACTGCACAGAGGCACTGGATACAGGGGTGTGCAGAGCAACTTCCCCACCAAAAAGGATCCTGTTGCTGTTGAGAGATGCAACCTGTACATCAGCACACGGGAATGAAACAAGGAGGTGGTTGGGGCTGCTTCAAGTATGTGGCTGCTCCCACCCTGGAAGCCAAGACTGTGTGATCAATGTTACTGAGGGTCTAGTGTGAGCCTCCTGTAGAACATTGACTGCCCCCACTCCCTCAGCTCCCCTTTTTCCAGATATCTCTATTCCCCACCGATTTCCTGTAGAGTTCCTGACCATTCCCATCCTTGTTTAACTCTGGGAAGAACCTGTCCAGATATTTCCCTCTATGGGTGCCTCTCCTTCATTTTTTGTCCTCCTTTGGGAGATGCCCATCCCCCAAATTTGCCTCAGCTGTCTGATCCCCAGCTCACTGTCATGAGTGTAGGATTTTCCTAGAAGTCCAAAGCTCTGATGCCACATTCCTGGAGACCTGCAGACAAAGAAGGTTCTCCTGTAAGAGGGGAGATCCACCGAAACCACCAAGGAGCCCCTATTTGGTGATGATTCCTTGCCATTTCCCTGGTCCTACACACATGGAAGCCCCAACCCACCATGTACAGCCAGAGCAAACCCAGGCATTCAGAAATCCCTGTTCATGATCACTGGGACATTACCAGGAGTCTCTCTGCGTTGAGGAGGCCTGCACTCCACCACCACCATGGGAGAATCTTGAAGAGAACTGAGGGATAGCAAGGGGAGATGGAGGGAAGAAGGCATGAAAGCAAGAGTGGATGGATGGATGGATGGGTGGATGGGACTGTGTTGGGATGAACAATGCATGGTTATCCATCCATGGCTGGATGGAGAGATTGGCAGACGAGGTCCATTTTGGGACAAGTGGATGCACAAGTGGACAAAGAGAGAGACATCAGAATTTTTGTTGAAATGGATGGATGGGCAGGTGTAAGGCTCCATTTTGGAAGAGATGAGCAGGTACCCATCACAAACAGTATTGTGTGAATGTAGCTGCACAAGGGATAGCACCTGTGAGGGCAGGTTGAAAGTCCTGGTCCCATGAAGGAGAGAGAAATGAGGCCAGGGACAGGTATTCCATGATGGCAGAGCAATAATCCCAGAAAGGCACTGCAGGGAGGGTGTAGTTCAAGCAGTGCCTGGCTGTCTTCTGGCCAAGTGCCAGGATGTGAAAGGGTCCTGCCTCCACCCCAAACCCATCCACATAAATCTCTCTGGTTCAGACATATTTGCCTCAGTTTCCCCAGTTCCTGTGCTGTCTGGGGTGACAGGGTGTGGAGCACCAGAAAAGTCCCCACCCCACCATCATGGTGACAGGGTGGACAGATAGAGCAAATAGGGAGTAAGTCCTTGGGGGAGCAGGGGTGAGGGTGGGACAGAGGGATGAGCTGAACACGGGCAGGCTCTCCCAGTGGACAGGGACAGTGAACAGGGAATAAGGACAGAAACACAAAGTGAAATACAAACAAGCAGACACTCACCGGAATCAAGGCCAGAGTCAGCAGGGACAGACTGACAGTCAGATGGACAGAGGGAGAAGTGGAAGAGGAAGAGGGAGAGACGGTAAGGGACAGAGGATGAGATACGGGAACAGAACGGGGAGGGATGGAGGAGGAGAGCGAGGGATGTTCGGGGGGGCAGGAAGATGCAGGGATGGCTGCGGTAGAGGGAGGCGGAGGGGCAGGCGGACAGACGGATGGAAAGGCGGGGAGGCAGGACCAGGGGGGCGGAGACACTCTCACCTCCCTACCCCCAAGCTGGAATCTGCAAACCCCTTCCCGAGCAGCCGGGCGTCGGGTTCTCTGGGGGCTGTGGGGGCAGCGGGGACCCTGGGTGCCGCGAGGCTGCGGGATGGGGAGGGGAGAAGGGACACCACATGTGTTGGGGGGTGTAACC